GGGGGGACTCTCCGTTATCTTATCCGAGTACTAGAGAGCATTCCTTGGACTTTAGCCCTATGGATAGGATAATAAGTAAGCGCCGGATGCGCGACTCTGTCGCGACTCAAAAGTGCGAGGCAACGGCGCTAAGGCCTTGCCTTGTGTGCTGCCGTGCTGCCATCCTTATCAATCACGGCATACGTGGCGTCTGCGCCCTCTCGCGTACGACGTGCTATCTCGCGTTTTCCCTCTCCTCGCAGCGCTGTGTCTCTTACCTACACGCCGTCCTAGCAGGGAGCCTGGGGCCATTTCACTGTTTTCTGTGGCACTTTTGGCTTTTCCTCCCCTCTGACGCTCCTCATTGCACCTTTCTGTCAAATTTTCAAAGATAAAACGCCAGCTCGACCCCGACCCATGCCTTTAAGGTGATCGGACGAATACTGAGAAGCTCTGGTATTACCAATGATACGTTGTCAGGGTAGGAGATCCAAATATGTTCGCCCTCGAGTCAGGCTCCCATATGCACAATAGCATCCAAGTTCTTTCTCCGCGACCTAACCACCACCATACCGTAAGAGATTGAGTTCTGACCTCAGTGCCTGAGGCGTAGTTAATGAGTGCTGTGTTCGATACTATGAGCGTTGTTAGTCGGGACTTCCCAACACCACTTCTGTTCAAGAACGCCGCAGGAGTGTTTTGGGGGAAACAGCACCCTCAATGAAATCTTATGAGGGTGCTGTTCCTCCTAGAATACTCTTTGGAGGATATTGAAGAGAAGTTGTATTGTCGAAAATTACACTGTGGATAAATTTACATAATATAGGAAAAGCAGCAGACCCGGTGTGAACATTGGAATAACAGATTTACCTTTTTGTCGTTCATTTCGCCTTTCATATGTTCGGCAATGTACGCGATCGCCTCCACGGTTGTCTTCATTTCCCGACTGATTCTAGCCGCATGCGTCTCCTTGTTCGCGTTCTGGTCGCCCAAGCAGGATTCTTGAACACGCTGAAACAATCGCAATTTCCGGTGTAGAACGACCATCTTGCCATGGTAAAGCGACCTTCATACCTACCTCATTTCGTTTCCGCTTCAGGGATAGCTTTTTCGATATCTTACGCCATTTTGAGCAATTTTGATGGTGATCCTCCTAAACTTGATGCATTAACCTTTCTGAGAGAGACGTTGTATCAAAGAACCCTCACTTTCAGAAAACCAGAGGCCGTCGACGCAGGCCTACACACCACCAGTAAACGATTGTGTTCCAAGTAAATTTTGGTCAGTAGTGCATTCATAGTTGATACACAGCTGAACTAATGGGAGTTATGACAAAACTGATGGAATGACTGCAGCAAGCATCATTTCAGAGGCAGAAGGCACTTGCATTTCGTGCAGGGTGTCGTCACTTGTGATGCTTGGCCTGCGCTTGACGCGTTTCTACATAGTTTTCTGAAGCAGAGTGCACGTTGCAGTCTTTTCAGTACGCTGACGACAGTGGCTACAACATTGCAGGCCGAGTGAACTTACGTGCCGTCCTATTGGGTCGTAGTCATAGGCCATTTTTGAGAAGACTTCAATAAAACTTCGACTTTTGAACGCCGTATGATCCGCGTTTATAGGACAAAATGGGATTTGAAACTGTGCCACAAAACGCGCACTTGCAGAAGCGAAAAGTAGTGGGGAAACAAGTCGTGGAGGATGTTATGAAAAGGGAGCGTCATGGTTTGACGACCATCACGCGCGCTTCAGTAAAATGTCCTTCAAACTTTGCTTTTCCAACTTAGGCCATTTTCACGACTCCTTCCATACTTTTCTCCGTAATTTTTTCCTTTTGCAAAAAGATGCCGCATCGCAGGAGTTCCCGAGGCTGAAACCAGTGGGCGAATCTATTTGATCTACAATAGAGAATATTTATTTATTTAGATTCATTCATATCTATTTATCGATTTATATTTGTTAATTTCTTATTTTTTATTGAACGAAGTTGTTTTTTTTTTTTTTTTTCTAGCAACAGTGCCCAAATTTTTTAGAATGTGTTCAGAAAATCTGGGGAATTTAGATAGAGGTATGTATGTGATAGAATCAACCGGCGAACAAGATACACGTGTGTTCTCATTGCATAGGACTCCGAGGATGCGATTTGATAGTGGCAAGGACATTCTGTAGGAAACGTAGCTAGAATAAAACTTAATGTTTCAATCTTGAGGGTCTTCGAGCAAGAATAGTCAGACTTCAAACTCATTCCGCTTACAGAATATACTCGGGTGTATTCTGGAAGGAAGGAAATGATCCAGGCTTAACACCTTGACGACAGCGCGGCAACTAGGTTTGCCGCGTTTTGCACGCCGCAATGGACATTGTGGCAACTATAGTTGCCACACCCTTTACATTCAGTTTTTTCTTGAACGCGCCATTTCTTCCCAGGTTTTTTGTGTTCATTTTTTAGGCCATACCACAACATAACCAAGAACCACGCGGCTTATAGAATGACCAAATATTCTTTAGTTTGGCAGAGGTTTTTCGGACCGGACGAAAATATCCGTTCAGTTCATTCCTCATTTTCTCTTCATTAACACGAACATGTAGATAAAAAAGAATATTAGAAGTGAGTACAAAGCTACTCGTGTGGCAAGATATGTGTTTTTACCGAAACAACCACGTCCAAAATAATTTTGAAATCACTAAAGCAAAAGTAAGTGAAACTTGCCTTTTCAATGCTGTAACACATCATTCGACCGCACTTTCACATGTGTACCTTCCAATAAGTTTGACACACCGAATATCAGTGAAAACATTTTGTCGCATCGAAGTATTGCGTATTTAAAGCTCAAAATCCACAGATTTGTTGTGAGGCGGCGGCGCTCGCAGAACCGCTCTGGTCCCACGCGGCCAAAAATGCCAAAACGCGCGATGTCGTCAACGTGTTAAATTCTATGTTAGAATTAGGAAAAACTCGATCTTGGTCGAATCTAACCTCGTCAATCATAGGTTCCTGAGACACCACAGGCGTTCCCACACGAAGAAAGGGAACCATCGTTGCTGTCACTGAAGGCATGATGAGACCTGAATTCGGTGAGGATTTGCGGGCAAAAAACACAACCAGCTTTGTGAAACGAGTGAGGTATTTGAGTCATTGCAAAATTGTAATCAGGCCAAAAATCTAGAATTGTACCACAGAAGAAGTTCACCAATTCCTCTATTTCAAGTCTCTTGGCACATTACTAAGGGGGCCCTCGGGCCAAATTTTGCTTACAAGGGCTACAATCAGGGATCGGCTGCCATCGTAGGAGCTAGGTTGCTGTTGTCCTCACTAAACCACAACAGTGCCCTATGTTGAATGTTGGAGCTTTATCAGAGAGGGTCTCAAGCGTCAAAGACCTGGATCGAAACAGGGCTAAGAAGATTATCGAACCCAAATGGGTCGGTGAAATGCGGGTCAGTTGTTCGTACCCTATCACTGTAAGTAACGCAAGCAGAACCCCGTACGGCACCAGCGTGAGTAAATTCTATGGCGGTACACGGAAATGCTACAGGTCTCTAATTTTGCCACCACTGTGATTTTTATTACATTCCGTTCGATAAACCAAGCATTATGTAAGATTTAGGTGTTCGCAGACAAAACCTGACGACGGTCGTACCGTTTGGCCCTGGCAGCCGTTGGCCCACGCATTCAAACGTCAGGACGACTTTTATCGGGAGTGGATTTCATGTCGAATACCGACAAGGAATTATCTATACTCCGTGAATATAATACCCCCTAATTTTTCCGTTCCTTCCCCTTTGAAATCTAGGCCACAACGACCTAAGCGAAGAGATTACCAAAAACATCTACACATGTATTGCCCCCATACCTTATCATTGCACTCATGATAAGTTTCGAGTTAAGTTTCTTCACTCTTAATAATTCAACTCACTATATTTCCAATTCTTATTCCTATTTTATTACAGTGAAAGAGGTCAGATTTGAACTAAAATATAGAATCTAGAAACTTTTTAGAGGGAAATAATCGAAGGAGCAGTTCGACTTTAGTTTTGCAGGTGTCCTCAGACGGAAGCTAAATTGGAAGAATTATCCTCCCCCCTCCCCCCGTGCGCTTCATGCAGGGAGGGAAGCAAGCATAACGAAAATAAAACAAAAATATAACAAATAATAAATATGATATGTGAAAAAAAAACAAGAAATATAACAAAATGAGTTTTACTTACTTGCATCGAATATTTCCGAGGCAGAATATTCTTCAACAAAATATCCGTTGAAAATCGGGATCCTCTCTGGTCGCTTCATCATGAGAACTCGAGGGAGAAAATCGAGGAATATGTGCCGTACATAGTCTGGCATCTCATGCGAAATGGCGCTTCGGAAGTAGACATTCACTATCACCACCGTGACCTGAAAATGGTCCCATTCTTTAGATGCGCCATGCCCATGTTAACCAGAAGCACAAGCAAACTCACCACAACAGTAGTGATGTTGAGCACAAATGCTAAGGAGGAGATACTTGCCCATGAGTGGAATATTCGAAGTGGGAGGTAGAATCTAAAAAGTGGAAGCTCAAGGAGTATTGTGCACTAGAGGAGAGAAAAGCCATGAATTCTTACCTTGGATACTAGTAAAAGGAACACAACCAAAGCGAGCAGAAGGTTGATGGTCAATGAGATCTTTTCTGCAGAATCGGCCGGTAGATAGAAAGCCATCATTGACAGGAAAGCCATCAGTACTGTAGGAATAATGAGGATCACCGTGTAGAACAAAGTTTTCCTGGAGTGTATTGTTAGCCCTCTCTTTTTGCAAAAATACTGGAGTGTGGCTCACCTTCGAATAACAACGTGGAATACGATTTTACTCTCTTTCGTATCCCTCTTGTTCACGAGATAACCTGGCACATCTGCAAAAGTATTGTAAAGAAGCGTGACCCTTCTATCTGGAAGCGTGTTCCAGGTAAAAAAAAATGGATCACTTACGAAAGATAAATGTCAATGGGAAACGGTTCAAGAATTAAAGCCTAGAGCGAATCCAGGTCAACCTCTACCTTTATCGAAACACTTGTCAGTGACTTAAAGGGACCGTCCACGGAAAACCCTGCTTCCAGCCACACCAAAAATCGATACCTCAGCCAATTTGCTCCATGAGGATAGCAAAAGGAACGGAGTCTTAGTGTTAATGCATGGATGAGGGAAACTATAATAAAAATTGAGTCCACACCCCCAGAATACCTCGACAAATGCTGGCAGTGGCGAAATAACATGTACCTACGTGCAGGGAGCCTAAAGTTTAATGGATTTTATGGTTGGACTTCCTAGAGACTTACACGTGGCTCTGCATCTTCCATGAACTTCGTGAAAGCAGTACTTCTGGTTCTGCCCAGGGTCTGATGCAATTCAGCTAGTGAGCCTTCTCAGGAACTGATCCTCTTCAGGATTTCAAACGGCTTGCTCAGAACATTACGCATAGTCGTCTATGACCACGCACAACCCATTCATGTGAGGAAAGCGTGAGAACGCCTGCGAAGTACCCCAATTTTCTTAGGGTAATAGAAGTGCAAATCTGCACACATGCACCGCTTGTGATTATGGAGATAAATACGTACTCAATAACCATCGCGATTACGAATGCGAGTCGAAAATCTCAGAAATATTAGTCAGGAAATTTTCACGCGTCCTCCTAGCTCTTAAACTTAAAGCATTCAATGCATTTTTGAGCCCATTCATGAGGATGAACAAGTTCGCTAAGAATATGACCGCTTGGTTTGAAGGAGTATTGTAATTTTCTCGGATAATGGTGTGCCGTTTTCAAAAGATATCCACCATCGCAAGATCTTTCTCTGCTTGTGCATAAAGTCTTGTGGAAACATGCGATGGCAGGGAACGGCTGTGGTAGATGATCCCTCTTTTTTTCTCTGTTCGCATGATTTGTACAAGGCTGTTCAGGAACGATAGGCCGAGTTTAGGCATAATCTTTCAAAACCACTTTAATTCTTCTCATGAGCTACGTGCCTCTGCTGCTAGTTAAGGTTGAACACTGCGTATCCCAAATGGGATCACCAAGGTCCAGCATTCGAATTATCCTGCTTTGAGATGCGAGTAAGACAAAAGCTACCGAGTTTAAGCCATCGAAGTAACCTGAGCGCTTTTAATTCGAGAATAAATTCAGGTGAAAATTAATGACCAACCGATGACATCCCAGATGCCGCTGAACGAATAATCGGTCAATTGCACGGCTTGAATGTTTGTACCAGTTCAATACTACTGGAAAATCACTACCTTCCATTTACTTTGCTCAGCAAATTCTTTCCTACAGAGAATATATCGCAACATAAAGGGCACTAAGGTGGCAAATACATCAAAACTGCGTGAAACATGTCCTTCCCGTAGGAAACAGGCATAAGTCTTAGGCGGGACAAGGAAGACTCCACGGTACGTGCACCATTTTTATTTTCCTCTTTTTTTCCTTTTTCTTTTCCTCTCTGAGTTCCTGCCTCTTCATCTCAGGCTTAGTCCTCGAGGATGTCCCCGTATATTGCCATAGCGTCGAAGATTCACCTCATCTAAGTTATACGTCCATGACCCGAATACGAGCGTACAACTTTGTTCATCAAATGGGAACCTGAAAATGAATTATTTCAATATGGTTAAAAATAGTTTCTATCCAGCAGATCCACCCCTTGCCGTGCTGTCTAAGGATTGGGAACGAACCATTCGACATCAATGCGACAACTGCTTTTGAACATCGCTGGAGGCACCCATGTGACGTCACCGTTTGATTCGACGAACGCGTTCGATCGGAAGGACACCTCATAATTGCCGTCCGCACTGAAATGATTAGGTCAACTATTCAAACATTTAATTAACTCCCTCTGAAGCAGTTCCAAGCATGACCCGTCTGTACATCACTTTTGGCTCAAAACGAGGACTTCACCCGCCGCCTTAGCGAGAATTCCGCAGGGCTTCGCACATACATACGGGGGCACCTGTACCAGGCGCGTTCTTTAACTTTCTCTGAAGTGTATTGAATTTCGAGAAGGCGTCTGGTGTTCAGACAAAGAGCGCATGATTCCCTCTCATGATATCTATACGAGGCTTGAATCTAGAGCTTGGTGGTAAAAGAGAGAGAGGAGATGATTTCGAGGCCCTATCGCAAGATACGGGGACATTTTGATGGGAGTGCATTTCAAGCCGTCTAAAACATCGCATTTCTCTCAAAAAATGGGCTAAGCCTCAGGTGGAGGAGAAGAGACTCCATATTGCGTAAGCAATTTTTTATTTTTCTGATGTTCCGGCCCCGGGCTTAGTCCAAGAGGTGACCTCTAAAAGTCATAGTTACCATGATGCTACAAGGAATGACGAGGTAACACATACTGGAACTCCTACCCTCCTCAGGTCCTTCAAATTTATGACATCATATATAAAATTTTGTCTCGTGCATTATTGAATTCTTGATGAGAAACGCATTCGTTCAATTAGTTGCTCATTTAAGTGCTCCTCCCCTAGAAAAAGCGTGCGCACGCAAAATTTGCAATCCTCAAAATTTTGCATTCTCTTTCTTCCTTTATATTAAAAATCGGAATTCATATAAATGGGTTCGGTAAGTCGCGTTCTTCGGCTGATTCAGTCATTAAAGTAGTGGCCATCAGATTCCCAATGTCAGTCAGATTATCCCCGTCCATGGGCTGTCGCCCTATTTATTTGGCACCGAAGAACCATGGCACCATGTTCCCACTTTGGCGTTCCATGCCGCCATAAACGCGTTGATTAATAGATGATCATTCTACCCGTGAATAATAGAAGACAGTCTAAAGATCAATGGGCTCATTTTCGATAGGAACAACGCCATTGTTCAATGAGTGGATAAAACATACGCCGCGGGTCTACATACCATGGTGACGCGAATGATGGGTCGCAGCGAATGCAGGCCTGCTTCATGCGGAAAGAGAAGGGCATGTCAATCATAAGCGCGCAAATGGTATTGATTAAGTCATAGAAGTGTTCTTAAAATCTAGGTTAGGAACCACACACGGCTATGGAGAATCTACAGGTTTAAACACCTGTGACTTTCCTGTCCAAAAAACTCAGGCCAGGGAGATCATCTCATCGGTGAGTGGAAACTTGGGAGTCGCCTTAAAGGTCTAGCCAACTCTCAACTGACTTCTAGAGGCTTCATGAATTCAGATGCTCAAAATTTATTCCCGAGAGAAAACTCTCGCCATTCAGTCCAGTGCTACAGATTACATCTGGCAGCATCTCGCAGTGTTAGAGGAACTGAGGACATTCTGGGCCTCAATCGGCATGGGGGTCTTGTATACTGTTTGTTATTCTATGGGTGCCCCCCCCCCACACAAGGCCCATCGAAGGGGAGGCAGTCATATGGCGCGATCCGATTGGCATTAGAGCGCACAGTATTAGGACAACTCGTCCGTATCACCCAGCTGCTAGACTCAACAATTGTTTGATGTGATAATTTGGGCCTCAAAAATGTTCGCTGAGTCCCAAAGATTAAAAAAAGTGGGTAACTTTCGTTGGCCTGATGCCAAGGCAAGATGAACGGAACAGAATGTGTTGCGCGGACGAGTTGTCCGGCCACAGCAGGACGTGGTAATTACGGCCTGTGCGCTCCAATGCCAATGGGATCGCGCCATTTGACGCACACCCCCATCGAAGGCAGAGTCGGCGGACGAGTTGCAGCGCGTGGTGTGCGATGTAGGACGTGCAATGGGACACTCTATTTAACTTGACGCGAAATCCCTACAGTACGCGCGCGACTCGTCCGCTGACTTGCCTTCTTGCCGCGCGACGGGCCTCCTGGGGGTACCCAAGATTATCATTTTTTGGCGCTATGGCAAGATGCACCGGCATCCTTCTAGGTCCAAGCCTAGGAGGGGCAGGAACTTTGAAGAAAATTGAAACTTGCTTACAAATTTTGAAGTCTCACTTCTCTGCTAAGGGCGTAGTCCCGCTATGAACAGAAAAGAGATGTTTCACGCGGTTTCTATTGCCATTGCCACCACAATGCTCCGTATCTTGCGATAGCGTCCACTTTTTTAGAGTCCTTTTTATTTTTTGCAGTGCTCTTTCCATTAGGTACCAAGTTCCTGTTATTTTTCTTTGGTTTGGGTTGTATTCTTCCATGTGCCCGAAGCACATGCTATAAACAAATAAACATGTAAGTATCGATAGTAGACCGTAACCATGGAGGCAAAAAACCGTCTGCAGTCTCAGCCCCATCAATACCCATCGAACAGAGTTCCGTTTCTTGGGATCCACCTCTCGCCCTCTTCCAGTTTTACGACTCCACGAATATGAGAGCGGCCCAGCCGTGTCCCTTCGGCGGCCATCCATCGACAACCATGCTTTATGAGATTTCGCTGCCGCCTGATTGTTCCCCACGGAAAGTCGTCAATTTGCACATGCAAAACTGGCATGTCTCTCTAGAATTGTTGATTCGAAATGCCGGCGAAGAGGAAGAGTGGAGAGGAATTCATTGAGAGACGGCCAAGACAGCCGGCCTTGGCTCGGAACAATTTTGGCCCAGATCAAATGAGTACTTACTTGTTGAAGAGCACAATGTCCGGTAACCAAACGCGATCGGGAGGGACATGAAGATTTGTGATGTTTCCTGAAATTGCGATGTTTTGTTTTTTTTCGAAAAGAAATAATGCTTTTCGCCGCAACTTTACTAAAGGGACCTTTGTGTGACAAGTTCAAAAGGTAATTTTTTTTAACCATATTTTGAAACTGCATTGGGAAGCTCTGACAGAGTTTTCTTTTTCATGAAGCCCTTCTATTATGTACTCCTAGGAAATGCGATATCAGAAATTAGTCCTGTTTTAGCCTTAAATGGTTCAACAAGGTAGAAGAAGTACCAGGCACCAAGGCGAGAGAACCGAGAATTGGGGACGAAAGAGCATAAGGGACGAAGGAGACGCAGACAACAACATATTCTCAGTGTTTTGATGGCATGTAAAGTTATGTGGACTGTGTAAAGTTTTCTACCCTTAAGCCAATAACATTAGTTGTTCCTCTTCTTCACTAGCAAAAGTGCAATCACTGCACATGTGGAAGCATCCAACCATCTCATTTGCGGGAGGATTGTTTCAATGCAATAATCGCGGAATGCGCCAATACCGAAAACTGCCATGGTCACGCAAGTCGACGGACTTCCCCAATTGTTACAAAGAACAAAGCATTGTCCTGGACAATCGACAAGCTCTCTGGGGACACAGCGAAATGAAGCAATCAATCCTCTTGTTCTTGTTCTTTGAAGAAAATTCGTATGCCAAGAATTTCAATACTCATTTGCTACCTTAAAGAGTGCTTCATAGTATAGTATTGGACTGACGAAAGAAAACTGCGAGCACTTATAAAAACCTACGGAACTGCATGATACACCATTAAAGTAAAGTAGCCCTCGTCTTCTTCTTTACTTCTTCTTCTGTCTCCCTAGCCGTTAGTCCCGCGCAAGTCGCAAGGGTCCGCATAAGGTAGCCTGTAAGTTTCCTTATATAATGGAAACACCTGAAAGTCCCAGTATCCCCGCTTGGAACAGAAGGCTCTTGCTCTCAAACCTGGCCAGAGATGTCTTCACGGGAAGAAAAAAATAAAAAGGAGCATCGGTCTTGTTATACCCAACCTAGGGGCGCAGCAGGGTCAACCGTTACGTTGGACCGATATTGGAGCGACGTTGGACCGATGTTCACCGCTCTCCGCGCCGGCATTCACTCTCGCCACCCGCGAGCCGTCTGTGTCTCCGTGCGTACGTTCACTCTCGGCATTACTCTCGTCGTCGCGTTGGACTTTGTCCAACGGACGGTTGACCCTGCCAGCCATTGCCATAATGGCACACTATTTTAGGAGTGTAAGAAAGTATGGACTCAAATACATGAATCCTCTTGTTGAAACGTCCCGCAAACAATTCTTCTTTAGCTCTGAGCTTCTAGGGCAGCTCCATTACAGAAGGTATCACCGCCCTTCTGGCCTCTTCTATTCGGGGAAGCGGGGAAGTGCACAACTGGAAGATTATCTACAATAGAGGAAGACTTTTCGAAGACTTCTTTATTTTTGAGATTAATCCCAATCTCCGGATAGTTGGTGTAGGTTGCTAGCTGATTCATGCTCTCTTGTCGGACAACTGCCAAAATGCCTCGTGAAAATCCCCTCTATAACTTTTCCGAGATAATCAGCCTATCACTAGAATCTCTTCAACATCTTGAAAATTCGGGAGAAAACTGTCATACCGAATCCTCTGGTGCCTCGTTAGTTGAAAATTCATTCCATTTCATAGTGAGCCACACATTCGTCTGTAGAATTTGGTTCTTCTCGTCCTAAAAGTTGTATATAATTTCGAGCTAGAAAATATGGAAATTAGAAATTATTTTGTTATAGTTGCAAAATTACATCACTACATTTTGCTTACAACTTTTTCTAACTGCTCGAAAGAATTTTCCCAAACACCACCGAAAGCGAGGTGCCAACTCGTGTGTCGTGCCCATTTTCAAAGTTTTTAAACGAACGCCGCTTTTTTCAAGAGCTCGTCTCGATACAAACCCCTCCATAAACCTACGGCATCAGCGTAGTAGTCCTTTATACGAACCCTTCCCCAAGCCGATAACCGTTCTCACCATTACAGCGTTTGCTATACGGAATATATTTGATTAGTATATTCTGAAAGTACCATTATCGCCAGTCAAAAACAACCCCGACTCAGCCCACAATATCCCCCCACCGCATGCTCTTCCACTTTTTAGGCCCCTTCACCAAGCCCAAAAATACGCCCCCCTACCTCCTTAATAAAACTCAAATGTGTGACTCTCCCCTCACTGGGAGTTGCGCAAGCCTACCATGGAGCCCCTCCAGCGTTGCGACTTTTACCGGCGAGATGCTCCTGCACATACACGGTCACCTGCGCAGTACCCGGCTGGGGATGGCTCCCCAAAACTCTGGACGCATCCCGCTATTCCTGGCCATGTATGATGCGTCATCAACCAGAAAAGAGAAGCCGAGCTTGAAGGGATTCATCCCCGTTCAGGTACTGCTGCGGCCCATGAGGTGCGTGGGCTGTCCTAGCGTGTTCCCTTTTTGAATATTTGGACTATTTTTCTGTGGAGGACGTGACATATCGCGGAAGGTGATTAATCAGCCTAGTCCATTTAGCCACCGAATACGTCACAGGATCAATGTGAGTAGGAATCGTATTCACTGCTTGCTGAATCAGATAGACAATGCGAAGGACATCAGGATGAAACCGCCTACGAACCTCTGTTGCCTAGTGATGATCCTTACCAAGAAACCGAGCATAAAGCCGATTTGGTATTGAAAGCACTTTGTCGACAATATGCAAATTCATAGCTGTTAGAGTTTCACTAGGTAATAAAGCCCTGACCAGGAACTGCCCTCAACGCCTAGAGCCAATCTCTTGGTACCGACATGATGCCTTACGAAATCGAAGCCATAGAAAAAGGAGCCAAAAAGCCGTAGGCAGCCATGTAGATGGCAGACAACTCCTGGATGAAAAGAGGATATGGTGCCGAGTTTTTGCTGCAACGTAGATGTTTTTGCTGCAGAAATACTGTAGTGGTACGATTACGATACACGATTGTATGTATTATACTCTCAATTGGCGTATCTAATAGCTTAAAGGCGGATTGCTATGCTAAATCGACAGGGCGTATCTTTCAGTGCGACTGCACCCTTGAGAGGATGCGCCTGTCTTTCACTAGATGACTTTCTCCTTCAACCTTCGTTGTTATCGTGGATTTCTACCTTGAATCGCAACCCTGGTAACTGCCAAACCTACAGAAAAAAAGAAGGGCTGTTGGTAACGGCTGCATTTGGGCAAAAAATCTGAGCCAAAATCAAGCGATTAGCACCCGACTGTTTCAAAAAATTAAAAATATTAAATTATTTAAGGTCCGGTGTTGTAAGAATAATGCAACTTGTAATTCAATTAAACAGCAGAAGTGGTCTGTAATGAAGTGGCGCGCTTACCACGCGAGCGGTCCGGGATCAAATCCTGGGTCGTGAGTCGCCCGGGCCAACCAAGCCTTCCATCCCTCCGGGGTCGGTTAATTGGTACCAGACTTGTCTGGGAGGATAAAAACACTGACTTGAACATCGGCTGGCCCCCGCAAGTCATTGTATAGGCCACATCGCATTCAAACGCCACTACGAATGTACAAATGGAAGTAGAATGCGTGCCGCATCCCAAAAAGGGATTGATCAACGGCAAATGCTTTATATTTATCCTTTATTAAATTTATAAATGGTTTTTAAACAGCAGATTAGTTCAACCCGTGCTTAAGTAAATTTAAAGAAAGCATGCACACAAAAATTACCACATTGATGAGAAGAATCATCGCCACACCGAAATCGACGGTGACTGGAGGACTGAAATGGAATCTTGACTAACTTCGTGATTTGAAAAAGGTGAGGCGTTAATAATAAGTACACATTTGTACTAAATACGCTTCAAGAAAGTTCATAGACGCTGCAGTGACTAATAGCGCTGTTACCACGCGCACGGTGCCAAGGATAAATCACGCGTCCATCTTACTAACAGGCCTTCCATCCTAATGGAGTGAGTTTGGCATCAATTTCATTTTTTGAGGACGAAAAAAACTTGCTTGCACATCGGCTGGTCCCATAGCTATTGTATTGACCGAATAGCGGCGCAATGCCGCTGCGATTTTTTGTGGAGTTTAAATGCACGGCGCGCCCCAAATAAGACCGATCTTACGCAGATGAGTATTCATGCGCTAAGTGGGGAAGAACGTTAGCTGCAGTGAAAAGTTTACGCTCGAACCGCCGTAAACCAGTCAGTGTATAACTTCGCGTCTTGCGCTTGCCTTAAGCACAACGTTATAAATAAACAATAAACAATTATTCTTTTTGTATTTCAATCCTAATTAGTTGGCAATGTTTTGAGTTCTTCGTTTCTCAAATAACCCAGGGAAGTATAGCAATTAAAGCTAATTAGAACTAATCAAAAATTTCACTGAAAGGAAAAAAAGACTGAGAATTACTTCCGGCCCTTACTGATTGGGGCTTGCACTTTCATCGAGTTCCGTCGCCATGCATCGTTACTTCACGAAAGGGCGGGGATGGAAAGACGGTCCACTCGATGGCTCTGCAAGGTCTCAATCCATCGACCGCCCGTTATAATTGCACCTCCGTAGGTTTTTGTCATCTGTTTAATCAGTGGCCGATGACCTATCAAAAATTGAACCAGTATGCCAATAAGTGATATATCCTGTGTCCAAAAAAGTAAACTGATGAGTTTGTAACTTAACAAAATGCTGAAAAAATTAAAGATTACTTCCTTCTCCGCGTGGTGGCGTGCTGCACCATGTGCAGCACGCGGTCCGCAATGGTGAACCTTCTTATCAAGTCTCCCTATCCATGATCCCGACGGAGTAGGTATGTTCAGTAGCTGAATGCGCCTGATACGGACAAATTATTCCTCTCCATAACGGAATAACCAAGAAGTAATTAAACGGACTCTAAGTCAATTAATTTTGCAGCGCTGGTCTGCGTTTAGTTTTTGTGGAATTCAATTTCCTTTCTACTGCTGTGAGCTAATAAAAAGAAAGAAGGGAATGATTAGTATGGATCAAATGAAAGAAAAATGCCTCGGTTAGCATCAGTAGCTTCTATGACTGGTATTCAGAGCATCGCCACGTACTGAAGTCGAATTCAAAGGCATCCCACATGGAAATTCAGAATCACAAAGCTTCGATCCAACTCAGCTATGCCCTGAGCCCCTGCTCTCAAAAAATACAAAAAACTAGTGCTCATCTTGAACCGACATACCTGATTGGAACATTACCAGTTTGAATTGCCCACCGTAAGTGTTCACAATTTGGGAGGTGGCGAAGAAACACGGTACATATTAAGGAAAACCCTAGACAAAAGCCATAAGCTGCTCGCGCTGGCTGGATAGATAGCCCACAGACGGGACTGTTGCCGCACTGCAGCGGAATGGGCTAGTATTTACAATACATAGGACTAGTACGTCGCGCGCACCATTTCAACGTGAACGGAACATGAAACGACGCAACTCTCATCTGAAATACGCGCGGGTTGGGGTGAGTCGCGGAGCGTGCAAGTTCGTATAATTCGTCTGGCTCCACCCCTTTCTTATTTCGGAAAAAATCCGCTGTTTAGATCATCGTCGACGGAATAACGCTTTGACGACAGCGTGACGCGGTAACGCGTCCCACTTTGCGCACCTCGTGGGACATTGTGACGCGGTAACGCGTCCCACCCAAGTCATCCCTTTTTCTTGCGCTTGTGCGACTTATTCCTAAGGTCTTTGTACTCATTCTATAGGTCATACATAGCATATATACCGCCCAATATTCGTTAGTTTGGCAGACACGGCAACAGAATGCGTAGGCGGTCATTGAAAATGTTAATCTATAGCCTTTTTCTGGGAATCCTAGGGTCGCTCAGAAAAATGATCTGCAGTCTATGTCCATCATTCCTGCCCCTATCTATTGCAACGATCCAGCGTTCCCAGGCACGAATTCCCGCGCCTAATTAAAGGACGAATTCACGATGAAAAAGCCATTTCAAATTAACCTAGGGATGGTGAGTGGTACACGAAAGAAGGAAGAACCATGAGAAACGGCCCAGAACCCGAGAAATGGGACCCCTTCCTTGCCCGTTGATTGAGCATTGATGCGACTCTCATCGCTGTGCCCTCTTCAACACTACGCTCTCTCAGCTCTCTAATCACTCGCCACGTATAGACCTGCGGTATAATAGATCGGTGGGGCACCCCGCCACTGCCCACCACGAATGAGGCCGTGTCCTAGACGCCGAGTCAGATCTTTCGGGCAATTGCCTCAGTCCGTACCCTAAGGACGTCGGCGATTTCTCAACTAGTCGTGAATTACTCCGTCCCCGACTTCGTCTAATCGCGAATCCGAGACGGAACGCTTGCTTATCGAAATGATTTGCCGTCCCAAATTCAAAATCCGCAGTCCTTGGTTAAGTGAGGTGTCGCGACCGGCGAATACACCATTTCTACCCCGGCAATAGTCAATACTAAACTAGGAAGGAAGTACCGCTTTAGCTCAGTGGGCCTTGAAAACAGTAATGGGAATTCTTCAGATACTGCTGTGTTTTAGTTTCTACCACATGCAAAACGTAGAAGCATTTCGAATTTAAAAAATCCAGACGTCCCGGAATAACAAGCTCTGAGGAAAGCCTAGTGCCGGGTTTGTTGCAGATTCCACTTGTTGGCTCAAAGAATGGTCATGATTAGCGCGATTTACTAGCGCTTTGTGCGAGAACAACACTAGAGCGACGAAAACACATAGAAGCGGCTTAAGGGCTTGACCTGTCACTTTCGCTGTGGCGCAAAGGATTATAAGATTGCGTGCTTCTCGGCGAAATCACTATGTACTAGTAAGTCTATTAATGTAAGAACCGCACCTGCTGACGTTCTGCACTGGCCGAATAAGAGAGTTGTACTCTCGAAACAAATCGATAACCAAACGTTCTTCATCCTCATCGTATTCGCTGAAGAATTCCTCTGAAATATGTGTGTGTGAGAGCTTCGGGGGAGGTTTTTAATGGGTATTTGATGCGTTTCCAGATATCTCAACCAGAAGTTCTCACATTGGCAACTGCAATTCGCATTTTATTGAGGGGTATTTGAAAAGCATCTGCGGTGCACCACTTTATAGCTGATTCTATTTTGACAGGCTATTTTGGCTCACCAGATATTCAATAAAAAATAAAAAGGTGGCGCTAGTGAATCGCTTTGGGATACGCTAAGCCTGGCTACAGGAGGGGTAGAGGAAGGATAAAATCAAGAGTGGGACTTATTTGAATTTTGCAAAGGCGGCAGCGGTAGAATCTCAATGCTTTGCTGTGCAATTGACTCATAATTATAGCTCGGCAATTTAAGTAGCATTCTAATGAAAGAACCCTGGTCAGCTATATTCAGTAGTTCTAAAAATAGTTATTCATGACATTTACTGGCATCAAAAATTAAAATAGAAAGGTTATCGAAGTAACATTTAGGTGGCGAAAAGGCCATTTTCAGATGAAGTGCAAAGGAAAGGATTGGCTATTTGGAAGGCAATAGCAAAGCTTACGTCACATGGAGCATTGGGTAGGCAGACGCTGAGGGGGCAACGCGAGGGTCAGGGCCCAGTAGGGTCCAAATAGGTCCTCCATGCCACACTTGATATCCAAAGTCCTCGATCGGTTGATAATGAGCATACTCTCATTGGAAATTCACTGCCTTATATAATCTGATTCGAATATTCGAGTAATCGGGTTAATTGTTGCATACACCTCTACGCATGCATTATACTAAATAAGTAAATAAGTAAATAAATAAATATAATAAATACAATAATAAATAAACATTATCGACTATTCCTGTCAAAACTAGTGAACCCAAAATTTCAATCATAGCACAATATTGCGACGACCAAAACTGTGCTTCAACAATTGTTTGGAACGATAAATCATGTAAATATTGTATAACACAGAGAGGCACCAAAATTTTATTTCAAAAGAATTCCAAAAGTTCAGAAAGTTCGAAAATTCCAAAAACTCGAAAGTTTCAAAAGAGCAAAAAGCTATTGAAAAAGAATCCTTTTGAAATCCTCCGCGATATTTCGGTGTAACACCTTCTTCAGGCCTGAAATACAACTTTTGAGTTTTTGGAATTTTCGAACTTTCTGAACTTTTGGAATTCTTTTGAAATAAAATTTTGGTGCCTCTCTGTGTTATACAATATTTAGGTGCTGATGAGGCTCCGGGACAGCACAATATTAAGATAAATCCATTGTTCACAGGAAAAACGCAAAAACTTTCAATCACACGTTAAAAGATTCGAAAAGTTACATAATCCCCAATCGTTTCGTACATGAAGCGGCTCAGAAACACGACCGTATGGAAAAAGCCCGGCAACAATGCATGGTTCGTTTGCGTAAAAATTTGAGTTCACCTACCCGATCACCTTGAGTCCTCATAGAGTGCGCGACGATGCCCATTGACGGCCCTTTCCCTGCTATAATAAGCGCGATGTTTGAACCCTTCCCTTGCATGCAGTGTCCGAAGACCAAATCGCCGATACTGACTCATTGGCCCTTTGATGAAGGACATACCAGTTATTCCCCAACTCTGGGACCCTACACCGGTTCCCATTTTGCATTTAAGGTACCCAACAGTTCCATTCTATCATGTTAAATTCAGCAGCCATGCCGCCACGTACAATCCACAAGAAAATTACATTCTTCCTTAATCTGCGCGCACCTTTGGACGCCAGGTTTAATAACAAAGCATGTTATGGTACAGATATAACGCTAACTGAAGCAACTCGAGGAAGGAGAATCTTCCGGGGTAAGATCATCACCAGCACATTGCACCTGGCCAGATATCTAATCGCTTCTTCCATCAAAATTAAGGAGCATAAAGTCCAAGGACTGTCTGTAAGGAAGCTGAGAGTTAAATTCTGGCACTTGCCACGTATTTTGGGAAGCGACGCCCTTGAAATGCATTCAGCTGGAGAGCATACTTGATCTGACACCAAGAATCGCTAGTTCGTTGGAAAAATTAGATCTCTATAGTTTACGATCTATGTATAATAACTAGCCACTCGCATACCTAGCAGACGGCTGATCAGTACTATATGTAGATGTCATACTGGATTTTAATCACTGTGGCGGCACCACCCTTACTTACTTCTCGACCGCTATTCCTGGGCACGCCAGAAACGCAGGTCGCACATCCTCCAAGCAGCTCTGCTCGAGGCTCTCCTGCGCCACAGATGCCCCTAACAATCACCGAGAAGGTCTGCCCATGGACAGCCTGCCTGGCCTTTAGATATGTGGAAATAGATGGACATTTTAGTAATTTTTCAATATAGTTCGTATATATCGATTATATGTATGGATAATAGTTGCTAGTCAATAATTGTCTGAAGAGGTGTGATGATGCCGAAAGCTCCCAATAAAAAATGTAATTACAAGAGCTTCAAGAAAGCCTATCACTACGGCTTAAAAATAATCGAGCAAACAAGAAAAAATGTTCAAAGAAGAAACAGATTTAGTTCACGCACGTGTGTTGATCCTCCCTGCTATCATTCCTGTCATACTGAACCGCTCAGGGAACGGCACGAAGTTGAAACAGCACAGACGCCGACGAGGAAGAGGAACAGCAAAATGAATATAGTTAGTCGTAGCATTAAGAAGACATTTCGTTGTTGGACACCAAATAACAGACCCTTGATGCTGTTACGTCTCGAACTGAAGCGTGGGAAAACAATGGACACGCCCCTCCCACCGCCTGGATGCGCCTTCAGTTTTTGCTCGGATTTCGGATGTGGGCGTGGCCAGAATGCTCCCACGGGGATTCGGAAAGACAAGTGTGTGTTAGTCGTGACGTGATAGCGCTAGTGACTTTGATGAAAATATTCGGAAAGATATTGGCTTGTCAATATGGCCCTCCAGCCGCCTCGGAGGTCTCGGCTTAATACCACTCTACCCAGTTGAGTTCCCAGACAAAGGTCGGAGGATGTAGATGAGATACAGGCGTACACTGCTCTGCTCGGAGAGCCATAGAAGACTCGCCATGTATTCGACTCACGTCCAAAATTAAACAGAACCCAGTCCGGTCCCGGGTTTGCTCTAGACCCGATTGATGCTTGGCCAGGGCCAACCGTCGCGTTCGCACTTTTCCCAGTTTAGCGACCTCCCCTCAGGGAGGTCTCGATCCCCTTACGATACCCCTTATCCCCACCCCAGTGATCACCTTCCTCTTCATGGCTGTTTCTATAGTATATGAGTTTAAGATCAATCGACATACTCCAACTCCGCCCACTTTCCCTGAAAAAAATGCCCGTCGAGCGGGGGGAGGGAGGGTAAATTGGTATCATAAAGCGACAAATCCAACAATTTTACCTAGTTCACCTGCTTTGTGTAACTTTCGCAAAATTAACCCACCGGAGAACCATCAAATACGACCCCTTTTTACGCCCCTCCACACTTCATCAACCCCAAAATGCGATCCCCCTCCCTTCCTCAGAATCACAAATGCGACCCGGTCGTTCGAACAGGCGAACGCACGGCTGACCGTGGGCCTGAATCATCCGGACTGCCCACGTGCAATGTGGCAACTTGAGCCAGCCCTCCATAGAGGGATTGCAAATTAATCCATTTTTTATTGAAATGCATTTCCCATCACCATTTGTTTTTACTGTTATCCAATTACTAGTCGGTAAAGTCTCATGTTTCAGTGCGGAAGTATTGCAGTAACTAGACGCATGCACATTGTCATGGTCCGGTGGATTTGTTCACGTCCTAAGCCAATCAAGTCTTCCACCTCTGTGGGTTTTAGCAGATTGTGCCGGAATTGCATCACAAGACAAAAACACCAGTGTGAACACTGGTTGCTTGCACAACTGCCAGATTACCTCTTCATTCCACAGTGGAAGGTCGAGGTCGGAGCATGGGCGTAAACACGGAGAAGGGTACACCATTCCTATTGTGGCGACATTCCGTAGCCCTGAAAAAAAACCATGACATCTTCATACTATCTTCTCTCTTCTTCTTCTTCTTCTGCTTAACGTTGTCCCGCTGGGGCAGGGTCCGTTGTTCGGATCGAAGAGCGCCACTTTGTTCGATTCAGGGCATCTTCGCTGCGCAGTTGTGCAGTTTTCATGTCTTCGTTGATCGTGTCTTGCCACCGTTTTCTTGGCCTTCCACGCGGTCGTTTGCCGTCAACTTCAAATCGGTATGCAGTGGCAGCGACGGTACCAGGAGCAGCTCGTATGACGTGGCCATACCACTGTAGTCGTCTCTCTCGCATTTTTGCTGTGATAGGTGCAACACCCATGCGCCGTCGAATCACTTCATTGCAAATATGGTCCAGACGTGAGATTCCCAGCGACCACCGGAGCATCCGCATCTCCATAGCGTGAAGTTGACGCTCAGCGCCTTTCGTGCTCGGCCAACATTCAGATCCGTATAATGCAGTAGAGCGGACCATAGTCCGGTATACCTTCGCTTTAAGGCGGATCGGCATACGCCTGTCGCACAGGACTCCGGTAATCTCTCTCCATCTCATCCATGCCGCGCCTATTCTCAGCCTTATCTCGTCCTCAAGACCTCCATTGGCTTGCAGGCGGGAACCCAGATACTTGAAGCAGGTGGTTTTTGGTAGTTCCTCGCCAGTGACCTGGATAGTTCCCTCATCTTGAACAGTTTCCAAGTACTCGGTCTTTTTGATGTTGAGACGAAGACCGTACTGGCTAAGCCGATCGCACCAAATCTGAACTCGATGCTGTAGTTCCTCTCTGCTGGTGGCTGCGAGAAGGATGTCGTCGGCATACAGCAAAGTCCACGGAACATCATTTTGCAAATCCCGTGTGATTGCATCCAGGACGAGGATGAAAAGCAACGGCGAGAGTGCTGATCCTTGATGGACGCCAACGTTAATTGGAAAGCTCTTCGAAAGACCAGCTGCACATCTTACTCGACTTGTGGTGCCCGCGTATAGCATCCGGATCCAGTTGATGAGAACTTCTGGCACTCTGTGTTCACGGAGCGCATACCAGATCAGCTGGTGTGGAACGCGGTCGTACGCTTTTTCCAAGTCTAGGAAGGCTACGTGGAGTGACTTTTGCTTTTCACGATGTTTCTCCAAGAGCATGCGGGCGGCGAAGATTGCATCGATTGTTCCAGCGCCTTTTACAAATCCGCATTGGTTGATGTTCAGCTCAACGATGTCGCGAAGTCGTTGATCGAGGATCCGCTCAAAGATCTTCATAGTATGCGACAACAGGCGAATCGGACGGTAATTCGAACATTCCGCTGGATCTCCTTTATTTTTAAAGATTGGTATGGTTATGCTTGTCGCCCATTCCTTTGGTGCGCGGGCCAGAAGTTATACGAACGGCATTGAAAAATCGCGTGAGCCATGGAATTCCAATCTGCCGCTGTCCTTCCATTTTCCAGAATTCTGTTGGGACGTCGTCTGGGCCCGTCGCCTTCCGATTTTTCATGCTGTTGATTGCCCTGGTGACCTCTTCTGTAGTGATGCAAGTGACTGGACCCGCATTCATAAGTCCTCCCGGGATTGGCGGATGAGCGAACTCGATGTTGGAGATTTCATTAAAATACTGTTGCCAACGATCTAGTATTTTTTGCTTACTGTGGAGTCGCTGTCCATCTTCGTCCTTTACGCAAACATAGTGGTCAGTGTCTTTCGCCGACCTTGCTCTTCCTTTCGCCAATCGGTAGATGCTCTTCTCACCTTCCTTGGAATCCAGCTGTGTGTGTAGAGGTCTCGAAGTGTTCAGCCTTAGCTGCGGCGACAGATTTCTTAGCTGCCCTCCTGGCCGTTATGTACTTGCTCCAATTCTCAGCATTTTTCTGAGCATACCACGCTTTGTATGCGCTCTTCTTCTCAGCCACTGCATGCTTAACCTCTTCCGTCCAAAGCCATGTTTGCTTGTCTATACGACGTTGGCCTGGCTTTGTAGCTCCTAATGCAGCTTTAGCGGCAGCTGTGACAGAACTGCGGAAGGCTGTCCAAGTAGCGTCGATGGTGCGACCATCTAAAGGAGGGAAAACGCATCTGCCAATGAAATTTTCATCTCGTAACCTCCACCATCTGACTTTTTCTGGTACCATGGAGCTGCCATAACTTTGCTTGGGTTTCCTCATCTTTATATCGACCACTAGCAGCTTATGTTGCGGTGCTACACACTCAGATGGAATAACCTTCGCATTGCTAACAACGGGCATATCTCGTCTCCTCACCAACACGTAGTCAATTTGACTTTTCAGGTTCCCGCTAGCATAGGTGACTAGGTGGCTTTCACGCTTTTTGAAGAAAGTGTTAGTGATGACAAGATCGTTTGCCTCAGCAAAATCCAAAATCCTGCATCCGTCTTCGTTGCGCACACCATACCCGTAGTTCCCTTGGCAGCCGTACCCATTCTGTTCCGTGCCAACGTGTCCATTTAAGTCGCCGCCCAACAGGAGAAAATCGCCTTCAGGAACTGTTGCGATCTTGTCTTGTAAGTCTGTCCAGAACTGCTCCTTCTCCTCGTCTTTGCAGCCACATTGTGGAGCATATGCCGAAAATACATGTAGACGGCGGGTCTCACAATCTATGACGGCAGAGATGAGCCTGTCCGAGTGGCGCTGTACTTCCGCGATGTGGTTGCGCATCTCGATATTGACGGCAATGGCCACTCCCTTGCTATTGGATGTGCCATAGTAACTGAGCTTGTACCCGTTTCCAATATCACACGATTTTTGCCCTCGCCATCGTGTCTCCTGGATGCATGCAATGGTCACCTTGCGCCTTTTCAACATTTCGGCTAACTCGCTGCTCCGTCCTGTGAGTGTGCCAATGTTTAGTGTGGCGATTCGTATTGGCTTCAGCTTCTGCGAGTACGTTCGGACTAGCTTCTTTGGCCAGTTTCGTCCATGAACCGGTAGCCCTTGCACATTTGTCACGGAGGTCGGGCGAAGCCTCCGCGCGTCGCTTCTGGGGTACGCCCTAGCGTTGTTCGATGATGTGACTGTTCGATCCATAGTTGCGACTCGAGATGACCAGCCGACCTGTCGCGCGAGCCTGACGCTGGTGTCCGCGTTTAGCTCAGCTCCACTCTCGCGAGTGGGCAGTCCCGGCGGCACCACGTGGAGGAGCGGACTCACCGCCT